GCATTTCTAAGGTCCCCTCTCAGCCTTCTCTTCTCCAGGCTGAACAAGCCCAGCTCCCTCAGCCTTTCCTCGCAGGAGAGATGCTCCAGTCCCCTCACCATCCTCGTAGCCCTCTGCTGTCATGTCGGGAAGGTGCATGGATATTCCCTTTTACCTTAAAATTAGATGCCTTGTTAACAAAAACTGTGCATTTAGCTTGATCTGATCTCACCACTACATCCAGTAACAGAGAGACTGCAGGTGTAGATACTGGTAGAGACTTCTGGGAGCGTACCAGCGTGTGCGTAAGATGACACGCGTGTAGGAGATGCAGAAGTTGGTTTCATTGGTGCTCAGGGTAAGCACGCACTGCAAGGTGCTCCTGCTTGGGTCCTCGCTGGGATCGGGTTCCGGAGGCAGGGAGCGGGCTGGGGCTGCTCCCACCATGCTGGCCGAGCTCCCCCGGCCGGACATGCACCCAGCCCTGGGTCCCGCTGCCGGAGCAAACGCCTGCTCAAGCCTCAGTTGTAAGCCCCAGTGCTGCTGCTGCTTTTGCCTTTGGGATCTGGTGCCCTTCCTAAAGCTCTGCGTACACGCTTGGAAGGTCGGAGCAGTAGGGTTTACCCCAACTAGCTCTTGCGCAGCTCACCTGACGTTTCTCTAGCACTGCTCCAGTGCTCTGTAAAGAGATGTGACAGTCGCGGTGAGGTTAGGAAATACACTGCTGATTTTACATTGCTTTGACGATGGAGCCAATTCTGTATTTCTTCATTCAAGACTTTGCACGTTCTCAGCCTCAGCTGAGACGTAGGAGTAGTTGAGGGTTGTGCTGAATAGGTTTTCGAGGGCCGCTGAGTTTAGGTTGCCTCGTGTGTTGGGTCCCACAACAAATCTAAGACTCTTCCCGAGCAAATCTCTTCTGAGTCAGAGCGCTTGCTGCTTTCTGCATTTCCTAACCTCAGCAATTAAGCTGTGTTATTGCTCTCTCACAAAGCCATGTCCAAGCAGAACGGAAAATTTGAGCAACAGAACGATTAGAAATGGTGCAATAGAGGAAGTTTGGCTTGCATAAATATCAAAGTGTACTTAAAAGCTGATACATGCAAATGAATTTTATATTGGTTTGGAGGAAGAGAGTCCCTGAATTTCCAAACAGCAGGAGTGTAGAAAGTAAGAGAAAGAAGGTTCTCGCCTCAGGCACGAGATGTGTCTCAAAGCATTGTGTAATTGTGGGTATGGTTCCCAGTACCGAGGGGCCGTACTGGGATTCAGCTAAGCAGAGGAGGCTGAATATTCTGAATATGCAATTAGATGAGCAATAACTGGTCCCTATTGTTACTTCAGAAGTACAAATTCTCTTCCTCCCTCCTCCCCCAATTTTTTAAATTGCCTTAAATGATGTCAAAGGAACAAAACACTATATTGGGTTTTCATGCAAATGCATTGCTTATCTGTAAGACCTCCACTTCCAAACTGACAAAACCCCCAAAATATTAACTGTGGTGTGTATTTTAATAAATTGATTAAATGTACCTTTGGCCACTATCAGAAATGTAGAAATTAATTAGGGAGAGTGGCTAAAACCAGCCAGACATGATAGATAACCTGCTCAGCTTCCCTGCAGGCATGCCAATTTTTGTCCATATTCCAGCAAGGAATGCTATATAAAATTTGGCTGTATAACATGTTAAAATGGCAAAGTGCATGGGCTGTTCAGCCTGGAGAAGAGAAGGCTCCAGGGTGACCTTAGAGCAGCTGCCAGCGCCTGGAGGGGCTACAGGAAGGGTGGAGAGGGGCTTTTCACAAGGGTGTGCAGTGATAGGACAAGGGGGAATGGCTCCAAACTAACAGAGGGCAGAGTTAGATGAGATATGAGGAAGAAATTCTTCCCCCTGAGGGTGGTGAGGCCCTGGCCCAGGCTGCCCAGAGAAGCTGTGGCTGCCCCCTCCCTGGCAGTGCTCAAGGCCAGGTTGGATGGAGCTCTGAGCACCCTGGGCTGGTGGGAGATGTCCCTGCTCATGGCAGGGGGGTTGGAACCAGATGAGCTTTAAGGTCCCTTCCAACCCGAAACATTCTATGATTTTATGAACTAGGTATTATTGCTGATGGTTTTATGTTATTTCTCTCATTTTAAGGCCTAATAATGACTGTGAGTAAACCGTGTTACTTTGGAAACCTGCTGCTGGGGATTGTTGGAGTAGATGTTAATCTCGCATATATCTTGGAAGATGTCACCTATTATCAAGACTCCTTGGGTTCCTACACTTTCCTCATTGATAACAAAGGTAAGTTTTTGGCTCAAATAGTTGATTCTAGTCCCACTGAGGTCGTTAACCATCACAAGGAAACTCTTCATTCACAGGTCTCTAAATAGTCTAGAAGTAATGAGTAATGAGATTTATTAAAAGATGAATTGTGAGTTGTTTGTTTAGCTTTGCCTGAGAGTTGCTGGAGGCTGTAGGGGCATTCGTGCCTTGAGATTTCTCTCCTGGCGTTTTTGATGGGGCAGTGCTAGCTTGCTGTTGAGATTTGCTGCGTGTGTAACATCCGAGGTTTGCTAGATGTGTAGAGCAAATGGCAAAACTGGTGTGTAGGTGTGTTGAGCTCTTCTCCTCTGATGCCAGCCTCTCTTTTTACTGCTCAGTTCTTCGAGCTGTCTTTCATTTGCAACTTACTGAGTTCTTAGTTTGCGACTTCTTTGATGATAATATTGCTTGCTCACGTACATTTCTCAAGCCTTTGTAAAAATTGTATGTTGTTACTGTATCCTGGTTTTTTTCCCCTATAAATATTCATCCTGGGCTCAGTTGTTATAATGCATCCATTGTATTGGTTTCTGTCTTTATTTTTTAGGGTACACTCTTATGCACCCATCCCTTACCAGGCCCTACCTGCTGTCTGAACCACCGCTCCACACAGATATTATCCATTACGAGAACATTCCGAAATTCGAGCTGGTGCGGCAGAACATCCTCAGGTAAGGAATCCGAGTGGCAAGTCCAAACATCAGCAGTCCTTAGGGCACTAGAAGTATTGCTAGAGGAGTTTTAAGAGAATATAGGGTAAAGTCCCTTTTCCTACAACATCTGGATACTCGGATGGAATTCCTCTCCCCAGTGCAGAACAGTTCTGGTGTGGTTTTCCCACCAGCTTTCTTCACTTCATCGTTTGGTGGGCTGAGCAGTGGTTTACACAGCTGATCTGGGGGATACTCTTTCTTACATTTCTCTTCCGTGTCAGGAATATTTTCCGCTGTTTCGTCTGGATTTTTCTTTACCCTTTGTCTTATCCGAGTATGTGTTTTAACTCCAGATGTGGTGGTATGTGAGTGCATTTTCAGCATACATCCACATTTTCTTCACCTGAGACAGCTAGCAGTTAATCTCTGCATCTCTTACAGTATTTTTATAAAGGTACAGTAGATGGGTTTTGCTGAAGTGCTTACTCCGTGTTTAATAAAATGCTGGGTGTTCTGTCTGCCAATATAGCATTCCCCTGGGCAGCCAGATCATTACGGTTCCCGTGAACTCCTCGCTGTCTTGGCATCTAAACAAACTGAGAGAAGTCGGAAAAGAAGCCTACAATGTCAGCTATGCCTGGAAGATGGTAAGCAGTAAAAGTGACGCTGCTGCAGGATGGCGTAGAGCAAGTTCATGTATCGAAGAGTACATTAATGTGCTGGATACAGTGAAGCCTGAAGTATTGCTATATATTGAAGTCTGAAAGGTTTGAATTACTCTGAAACTGCACATATGGGGGGGGGGGGTGTTTAAATGAA